TGTGTGCATATAACACTTATATGACCCATCCCGTCAGCAAAGCGTTTATTCATAGCCAAATATGTCAACGGTATGTTATGACAAGTGTGTGTCCATATAACACTTATATGACCCATCCCACCAGCAAAGCGTTTATTCATAGCCAAATACGTTAATGGCATGTTATGACAAGTGTGTGTGCACATAACACTTATATGACCCATCCCATCAGCAAAGCGTTTATTCATAGCCAGATACGTCAATGGTATGTTATGACAAGTGAGTGTGCATATAACACGTATGACCAATCCTATCAACAAAGTGTGTAGTACTAGTGAAACACATTATTAGTATGTTATATAGCGCTTGTACGTTTCCGTTATACTGACGGTGGTGTGCAATAATAGAATGGCCTTGTTTCCGTTTGTGCGGCAACGTGTGCGTACGGAGATTACATACATATGCAACGCATTAACAAAGGCTTGTGGGCGTATATGGGCGTGTGTATATGTGTGATCTGTGTATCTATATAGACACGTATATATATATATATATATATATATATATATATTATATATATATATAAATATATACATCTATATATATATATTATTATTATTATTATAATTATTATATATTAATATATATTATTATATATAATTAAATATTATTATTATTATATATTATATTTTTATATATGTATATATATATCTATAGATATATATATAGATATATATATATATTATTATATATATTTATATATTTATATATATCATTTATAAATATAATATATATATATATATATATTTATATACGTTCATTTTTCTGGTTGCGCATGACTTATCCTCGCCTTACCATTCACCCCCCCCCCCACACACAGTAAACACTCCTACACTCCAATATCTAAGACTTACATTCTCTTTGACCTGCATACACACAGACGCACATCTTCGATGCGTACGACGACCGCCTAGCGCACCTGTCCGACTCCATTCAACCGCTGCACGAGATGATCACACGACTAACCAAGGTACTCAGCAACATCCAGAACACCAACCAGAGCTTCATCAATGTCATGAGCCACTTCGACGTGTACGCGGATGTACGCGGGTATATAGAGAACTCAAGGTAAGCCATAGTATTGTGGGCGGGTGTGTATGTGTAGCATTGTGGGCGGGTGTGTATGTGTAGCATTGTGGGTGGGTGTGTATGTGTGTGTATGTGTGTATGAGTGTATGTGTGTATGTATTTGAGTGGGTATGTATGTGTAGCATTGTGGGTGGGTGTGTATGTGTGTGTATGTGTGTATGAGTGTATGTGTGTATGTATTTGAGTGGGTATGTATGTGTAGCATTGTGGGTGTGTGTGTATGTGTGTGTGTGTGTGTGTATGTGTGTATGTATTTGAGTGGGTATATATATATATGTTTATATATATATATATATATGTGAGTGTCTATGTGTGCGTGTCTATCAAGACCTCGAGGTCAGTCATAACATATTGAGTAGAAGTGTGTGTGTGGGTATATAACTATACCATCAACCCACCGCAACACACACCTCTCTCATGTAAAACAACCCAGAGCGTGCACACATACTATAACAAGTGACACACCACAACATTAACCCAAGCCCCATCAACCCTACCCACATTAACCCAAGCCCCATCAACCCTACCCACAAAGCAATCTGAAGGACCTGGACTCGTACATTGACAAGATGGAGAAAGCCAAGAATGCGCAGACGTACTTTGAGGAGAACCAGCTGCGTGGGGGGCAGGAGACACTGCGTGAACTCACAGAACTCGTGGAGATAGGGGCCAACAAAATGACGCAGAACTTCTACGATGTGCTCAAGCACAACAACCGCAAGTGCAACTTCAGTGGTAGGTGGATGTGTAGGTGTGTGTAGTTTTGTATGTGTGTGTGTGTGTGTGTTTGTGTGTTTGTGTGTGTGTGTGTGTGTGTGTGTGAGCTTCTTGGAATAGACGTGTATGTGTTGGTGCGAGGTATAAGTGTAGGTGGATGTGTGTGTGCGTGTGAGCTTCTTTGAATAGTCGTGTATGTGTAGGTGCGCCAAACCACTTCTACTCAAATCTCAGCTCACTCAGCACACACCTTGTAGGACGCACATACCTTGTAACATGCACACACCTTGAAACACGAACACACCTTGTAACACGCACACACCTTATAACACGCACGCACCTTGTATCACGCGCACACCTTGTAACACGCACACACCTTTAACAAGCACACACCTTGTGACACGCACACTCCTTTAACACGCACACACCTTATAACACACACACACCTTACAACACGCACACACCTTGTAACACGCACACACTTTATAACACGT